CTCAGCACTCAAACACCCAGAAGACATTGCAAACAGCCAGCATTCAGACTGAGTGAGTCACATTACATTTACTGTATATTTTAAAAGTAAACTTAATCATAATGCACCTGCTTTAGAAATATTAATGCAGCATTATGAACTCTCTTCCTTCAGGTCTGGGTTTGTTACCGTCAAAGAAGCAGTAAGGAATCTGATGCTTGTTTAAAAACAATTTCCTATTCTCAAATAGTTAAATATGTTAATGTTGTTTCATTTATTAATAAAATAATTCATTTTTTTTCTCCTCTTGTTTTTAGGATGTACACCAGTTGGCTGACTATTTAGAAGTATGACAACCCATAACGTTCATATTTAAAAACACCAGCTCTTCCTGACGGACTTTTTGTTACTGATATTATGAAATGTGACATCTCTATGCAGGAGGCCTTACAAAGAGAAGAGGCTCTTAAAAAGAAGCTCTCCAACCTCCAGAAAAGCGCCGCCACATTACTGCACTCTACAGAGCTCCTGTGGAAGGTACATTAGTAAACTACTTCCTGCTGAAGCCCTGCAGCATCATTCTGAGGCACACATGCACCTGTACATTATGAAATCTAATCAAACACATTGAATACGTGAACTCCTTTATCAGATGTCAGATGTTCTTGCTTCCTTTGAAGCACAAGATGATCTTTGGATCATTCTGAAATCTTTTGAAGAACATGATTATCAGGTTTTGTGGAGTTCATACAGCTCAAGAGCTGTGGTTATTAAAGCAAAATGAGACAAACCAAATACAAAGACATTTTGAAATTCATGGTCATTACTCATACATTAGCTATGCTGTCACTCTGCTTAATACTGGCTTCATCATATACAGGTACATCTAAAAAATTAGAATATCATGAAATTCACTTTCTGAAATGAGCGACAAAAAATATTGACCTTTTTCATGATATTCAAATTTTTTTAGATGTACCTGTATATACATTTTGTATTATTTGTATAGCGCTTTTCACGATACAAATCGTTGCAAAGCAACTTTACAGAAAATTAAGTTTCTACAATATTTAGTAGAATTTCCTGGTTTGGTCACAGCAGTAATACAGAGAGAGGCTGTGGGGATGGTCTTGTGGTCGACAGCATCCGGCTCCTTATGGCTCGTTCAGAAAAAAACAAGAAACGTTCTTTTTCTAGCTCACACACACAAAATGGAGAGCAGTGTAGGCATCAGAGAGGTGTTTGTTTGCGCTTTTGCAATGCTTCAAACTCGCCCCTCATTCAAACTTTTCAATTTTTCCATTTTGAGCTCATGACATCTTCTATATTTTTCTCAAGGGCCAATATACTGTAGCAATCAATCTAGAATTATCAATAATAAAGGTTGTTTGCTTTTAACAAAATGCTAAGGAGGCAGTTATAAGACAGGATGCAGTGTATGTACAGAAACTGAAAACTCTTGCTTCAGTGGTTCTCTCTCACTGACACACACACACACAAAGACACATTTCCTTTTCCTCCCACAGACACGCTGTGATGAGGACTTGCTGAAGAGTAAGATCAAAGCCCTGGAGGCTCAGCTGCAGGTTTGCGTCAAGGTAAGACTTGCAACGCTGCATCTTTGCAACAACTCCAACCCAGACTGTGAGAAGTTACAATGCATTAAATTCAACTGACTTATAAACTTAGTTACTTCAAATATTTTTGAATAATTAAATATTTAAAGTGGTTTATTGTCTATTTTTCTGTTTTTTTTTTAAGTTATAAAATAGTACATTCATTCAACTTGGCCCTTGATAAGTACAGGTCAGAGAGTTTGAGACGCTTTTTTTGAAATAGAAAGGTAAAGGTTGCAATTTGTCTTTTTCAGAAGGTTCCTCAGGATGGAGTGAAAAAAGTGGTGCTAAAGATGGAAAAACAGAGGGAGGAGTATGAACAGAAGGCTCTGAAGGCTATTCAGAGGGCAGAGAATGAGAAGGCAGAAGCTCAGAATAAGATGGAGTACCTCCAGGTAAGACCCCAAATGCAGAGGTCAGTCTTAATAACACATCTAAAATGTAACACAAAATCACCAACATTACCTCCATATGTATACTTGCGAATCAGACTGAGTTCTTGCTTGTAGAACTCTTAGCTATGTTCCAAGAATCCAGTTTTCATTCCCACTCTTCCCTTCCACCAGGGGGCTCTGCAGACAGCGCAAGCAGAGTCTGAGCGGTGGCAGAGGCTGTGTGAGGACCTGAAAGTGGGTTCGAGTCAGATGAAGAAGAGGCAGGATGAGTGCACCGATCAGATGTTACAGCTGCAGGGTCACTTGGAGGTACACCAAAGCCACTATAACAGAAACCATCATGAAAGAATCAAAGGACTTGAGTGACACATCACAGATTTTTGCAAAAGCTGACAAACCACAGGACCCTACTTTCTGTACACACTATCATAACTGCACTGAAATGTATGGAAAAAACAAACAAACAAGCATGTATGTTGTGTAACTGTGTATGTGTTTGTGCAGCGTTCTGTGGAACAGGAGAAGATGCTGAGGAAGCAGAGTGAATCTCTGCAGCAGGAGAGAGCAGAGCTTCATTCCTGCATCTCAGAGCTGGAGGAGGAGAACCTCAACCTGAGAGAACATCTACAGGAACTCACAGGTGCTGGAAAACTGACTTTCACTTCACATTCATTCAGAATTTATGGAAAATACTAATACGGTCTATTCTAAGGAGTTAACAAGCTGTATTTCTTTCAAATCTCATATTTCTTGTAGTTATTTCTTGCTTCATCTGTGTCTCTTTCTTTCACACGCTCGCAGGGCACAACTATGATTGGTGGAACAGTAACACAGAAATACATGAAGATGCTTCAGCACTGGACCAGCTCCTAATGACAGATAACAGCATAGCCAGACAACTGAGCGAGACTGAACATAGACTCAGAATGAAAGAAAAAAGGGTAAAGAGCTGCCAGAGAGATCACTGAAATTAAATTAAGGCAAGACACTACAGACAAAACCACTGGGGTTTTTTATGCACTGGTCAATTTTGGGATTTTGAGCTATTTTGCTTCCATTTCACACTAGTGGAACGGAATACACATAGAAGTCATATGTTTATTTTATTACCTTTGAACTATTTTAATCTTTCAGTATTACAATACATATCTTTATAGGCATTTTTGCATAAAGCGAACTTTCCACTTTTGTTCTTATCTATATTCTGAAGGTTTTTATAGAGGGTTTGTTCATATATCCTTTGCCTGATTTAGGCTATATAATATTTAATTCCTAGAAATATGAGTTAAAAATCCTTTTTCTTGCTGTTCTTTAAAAGTATTTTCTGATTTAATGAAAGGAATGGTAAAAGGAGATATCCAACATTTCCTTTGTAAAACAAACAAACAAACAAAAAACCTTAACTCTAATATATCAACAAAATGAAAACATTTTGAACCTAGATTTTTCCAGTGTTCGGATTTTTGTTTTGGAAATGTTTGATAATATATATGAAATTGTTTTCATTTGCATTTAAACAATATTTCAGAAAACTTGTAATACAAAACAGTTACCTTAATGTACTGTAATGACTGTAATGAACAAAGGGAAGTATGGTGATATCTTGTATTTATTTATTTATTTCCTCTTTTTTACCTATTCACCATTGGTGTCTTGCCTTAAATGTAATAAATTACTAATAATTATATATGTATTATGTAAAATCTTTCCTAATTAATTTTTGTTCTTAATAAACTACAATTTAACTACTATGCAAGACAAGGATCTTTATAATATATTTAATATATGAAAATGTAAATCTTATAAGCTGTAGTTTAGCAGTGAAATTCTAACAGTGCACTGAGGTGATCATACTTGGATTGTCACTATTTTAGGGGGGGGCAATAAAATAAAAAATTAAAACAACAAAACAATTATTCAGTTGTAAATAGTATTTCCTTTCTTTGAGAAAACCTTTTCTATACATGAACATAAGACATAGTTTAACATAGTGTTGTCTTGGTTACCCGGTTGCTATGGCAGTGCATGGAGCTGCAGGCCGATCTTGAGGCCCTGGAGCAAGAGTGTTACAGCTATCAGTCCCGACTGACCCAATGCAGAGAAGAACTGAACATACTGACGGCACGCCAGAACAACAGCAGGGTGAGATTCTACCAAAATAACAGCCATGTGTGACTATAGGTCTAGTTTCAGCCTGGTTTTCTTATCATTTGGAATTTGTATGCACTCGGATGAATATATTTTTGAATACCACGAATTCTGACAGATTTCAAAATGAAGTTAATTAGGTTAAGATCAAGATTCTCCACACTTAAATTTGGTTTCTTTGCACATTTACACCATAAATCATTTCCACCTTTATCTCCCTGAACAGAGTCGATGTTGTGGGTCCTGGCTCTGTATATTTCTGTTCTTACTGCTTCTGATGGTTGTGTTGGTGGCAGCCCTGTGCTTTTATCATCCACCTGCCAGAGAGCAGCTCCGCCAGTTTTACTCTGTCCTGGAACAGCGTATGGAGGACTACCTCATCCAGAAAGCTTCAGCAAAGCATGGAGCCTGCTTTAGACCTGTGTGATGAGAGCAAAGAGCAAAGCCAAGAGTCTTCTAGAGATTTTGTTTGTTTATATTTATTTTTTATTTCACATTTCTAATTGATTTTTGTACAAGAATGTTTTTTTAATGTTAGCCACATATAATGTCTCTATTGTTTTTTTAATGGTTCTTTGTATTAGTATCTAAAACAGACCAAACTGCCTGTGTAAATACTAGTGTCATGTTACAAAATGTTATAATGAATTTCTAGTTTTAATACCTAAATCTGTATCTGAATTGTACAGTTTATAACTGATTATTAGAATTCGGTACATTATTGGAAAACGGTACATTTAAACATCCAAACACAATGGTAGATCAACAGATCAAGCCTGGAATAAATTTACTGTATACAACTAAGATCTGCATTTTGACATTAGTATTAAACATGTAACATTTGTATTTTGAACTGTATCTCTATTTTTACTGAATGATTTCAAAAGGTAATTTCCAGATAGGGTAATGTAAACTTCTTTCAGTTAGCACTCACTGAGTATACAAGGACAATATTGTTGCGTTGAATGGCTGCAAAAGCACATTGTCATGACAGGTCACTCTCTTTAGCGTTCCAGACTGACCTACACATTAATGGAGATCTGACACAGCTTGTTTCAACACATTCACACGCTGCCCCTCCCCTTGCCCAACACTGCTTTTCACCATGGTTTCCTGTGTAAAGATAACCAGAGCCCATTAAAACATTCACTCCAGCTCTATAACAGTGATAATAGCTTGACAGCCATCATAAAGGGTGAGTTATTTTATATGCTTTTGCGGAAATGCATTTGTCTGACAGATTTAAAACTACAGAGGAACTTTCTGATAGATGAATTGCAGCTTGAACATGATGTAAAACTGGAAGTGTAATACTACAGTGTGACACATACAGTATGTAGGCCTGAGGTGTTTTAACATAAGTGGCTGCACAAGAAGATGGGTTCATTTACACAACATAGGTTTATTAAAGTATATGCTATATATACTATTACACTATCTAAAAAGACATAAATAGGTAGTGTTGTTCTATTCGATTAATGAAACTTTGTGTATTTCTAGGAGTTCTGATAAATGAGGTCGCCTCTTCTGGTATGTTTTGTTGGATTATGTTTGTGGACGTCTGTAATTTCACTGAAGATCTGCGCCTTCAACATCCAGAGCTATGGGGAAGCAAAGGCCAGCAATTAGAGAGTTATGGAGATTTTGATAAAGGTGCAAAGAATATTTGAGAATATGATTAGAAATCTAAAAAATGCCTTTAAATACTTGAATTTCTAGAAACATTTTTAAATTTCTAGATAATTTCTCGCTGTGACCTGAGTTTGATCCAGGAGGTTCGTGATTCTAGAGGTGAAGCCATATCTGCACTGTTGATGAACCTGAACAGGTATATTCACAGCATTTCACTGATGAATTAATGACTATGAAATAATGTATAATATCCAAAACAATGTTTTTATTTTCCTTCCTCCAGGTTTGACAAATCTCACATCTACACACATTTAGAGAGTAAAAGAATGGGGAAGAAAACATATAAAGAGCAGTATGTGTATATTTACAGGTAATGAAACTTTTATAATGGGTGTTATGTCACTAACACAAACACAGTGTAAGTGAACTTCTGTGAACTTACCGGAATTTTGCAAACACTAGGAGTGAGAAGAATAAACTCATCCAGCCTGTTGTCTTCACAGAAAAGACATGGTAAAGGTGCAAGAGCAATACCAGCACCCAGAGTTCAATGAGAGCGCAGTATTCGCTAGAGAGCCGTTCATCATATGGATCCATTCTCCCACAACCTGTACGTCACATAAATGTTCCACGGAGCATTTCTAGTACCAGGAAATAAAATAGCACATTTCAGCAAAATAATTATCTCAGATACATATTGAATCTGATTGGTTGTATTATCTTACAGTGGTGAAGAACTTTGCCCTCATTGGTCAGCACACCTGTCCTAAGAGTGCAATGAAAGAAATGGAGGCACTGTATGAGGTCTTCCAAACAGTCAGGAAGAAATGGAAAACTGAGGTACACCAAACTCATATACAGATATGTTTTACTAGATAGAACGATAGATTGCATATTCATTCCTGGATTGTATATCATTTTTTATTTACATTTCTTATCTAGAATGTGATGTTTCTGGGGGACTTAAATGCAGCTTGCAGCTATGTTACCAATAAAGGACTGAAAAGCGTGCGTCTCAGGAGTGACCCAAAGTTCCACTGGTTAATTAGAGATGAACAAGACACTACAGTGCGTGAAAAAACATGCTGCGCTTATGACAGGTCTTACTTTCTTAACAAACCAACATCAGTAACCAGAGGAACAATAGAGTGCTACAAGGATGACGTCATTTTGAAGGCCAAACCAGAAGTTACCATTACACCAGTTTTCTAGACAAAAAGCCAATAGGATTTTTGCATTGAGTTTTGGATTATTGCAGAAAATAAACTCCCGGAAAAAAAAAACACAAGAAAATGTTCACAAATTAACACGACTTTTTTTTTTTTTAAAGGCGTAATACAGTCATCGGAAGTAAAAAGCTAAAGTTAGGCTATAAACGAACTACACCACGGTCACATGACTTCAACGCCACCACCATCTACAAGTTTGAGTGAGAATAGTTAGCAAGAGTGTGATTATAAACACAAAGAGGTTTTAAAAGTGGACTAGTGAAGTTGCTTATTTCCAGGTTTTAGGACTCATTCCTGTTGCACTCTATAGCATTCCCAGCCTAAACTACAGTTACCAGTTTCACAATGGCATGTTAGATAGTCTAACAGTAAAATCTTTGTGAAAACCCCTTTTAGGATTATTATTCATGGCAAAGAACTCATTTCTGGAATTGTTCCGGAATCTGCTCAACCATTCAGCTTCAAAAAAGAATTCAGTCTATCTGAGGAAGAGGTACAGTAAACAGTATTGCAAAACAATTCATAAGTTAATTCATAAAAATGAGTAAAAATTCATCAAAAATGTTTAAAATTTATTTTTCTTTTTTGTTTTGCACCTAGGCTTTGGAAGTCAGTGACCACTATCCTGTAGAGGTGGATTTGAAAGCAAACCATCGCTACTTTCTGCGCCATGAACTGTGAAATAATAGATATCTGTGAATATAACCTACAAAGTAGGCTATCAATAATAGTATATCATTATTGCTCTGATACTGTGATAATTTACTGGTTCAATGTCCAGAACTACAAGTGCAGCATGGACAATTATTACACACATTTACTGTGTACATTTTGTCATGCAGAACACATACATGATGTTTAGAAATGTTCTGATACCACAGAAAGAAAATGTGAATAGATAATGGAAATTTTTTTTTTACTTATATTTTATTATGCTGTTTCTGGAAAAACAAGTTGTTTACTACACTATTTAAAACATTTTTTATATCATTTATTAATATTATATATACAAATTATTTTTTAAATAAATTTTGATTTATGGTGGCTTGGTGCTCTGCTACACTGTCCTGTATTTGAAGTTGCTAATAGTGAAGATTAAATAATAAACACAATGTCATATATAAATAAGGGAGGGGTCTTTTCTCATTTAAATCAGCTCATATTTTGTCAGTTCCTTACACTGTTTTGATCAAGAGGAGTAGAAGCTATGCTCTTATGTTCTTTCATTCTGTCATGTAACTAAATAATTCACAATATAAAATTGACTAAAACTCTCAGCACTACAGTGGCTCACTAAAAAAGAAACCGCTAAGAATGGATACCGAGCATCTCGCTAATTTTAAAAGCTTTTTACATTGTCTGATGGAAAGACAGCAGCGTTTTGAATAAAATTACTGTGCAACTCATGCAGAGGATGCATCAATTTAGAGGAGACATGATGTGGTTGTGCTTCTCAAACCACAGTCTAGAAAATGTCATACAAGGCTGCGTTCCTGCTGCACTAACACACACACACACACACACACACAAAAGTAAGATGTAATTAATTAATCAAGCAAACATAACTTGACATATTTGATAGGTTAACTTTTGATATTTATATTTAACAATGTTGATTTAAATTGCGTGTTCATGTAGCTGTTTATTTTTGTTTAGTAACTTAAGTTCTGTGCTGTTTGTGTTGATGTTCTTGTTGTCATGACCCTGTTTGAACAGGAAGCAGCTATGACACGAAGCGGTACGCAACACACACTCTCATTTTGTCAAGTGGTAAAACATTCAGAGTGTCTGTCATGTTTGAATCTGATTTTGTCTGTATGGGATGAAATTAAATACTTTACACCTCCTGTTGTGTCAAAAACAAGATGGATCAAAACATTGCTGATTTTCTGCTGGATGCATTCCCAGGTAAGATTTTTGTATAACACTTTTTATTTAATGAAGCAGGAAAAAAATTGTAGCCAATTGCGCATATCATATGATCTCACTGCTAAACTGTGGTATTCCATAAAATATTCTGACTTGAGGAATAAAATGTTACCTAATTAACAACACACACTAAGAATAGTCCATAAAAATATGGCCCAATGTACAATGTTAACATGAAGGAATTTTCTGTATTGATTTTTCACAGGTGTTTTACCCATATTTTGAATTGCGCATTGCATTGTGTTGTGTTTTAAAGTTGAAGGAAATGTCCGCAAACTTAACAGAAAAGGTACTGGTAATTTTCTGCCAGGATATTATCCGTTTTTCTACAGATTTTTTCATACAGTGTAATTAGTACTGATGTGTGTATTTCTCCTTTTTTTTTTTAAATAAAAACAGAGACAAACTTTGAGCATCTAATTTTTGATGACGACACAGCAACAGCTCACAGCGTTAATGTACCTCAAAATGAGCCAGGCATGGAGGAGGACGACAATCACAGAGAATCCAGTGGATCTGATTCTGACATAGATTTAGAGTGGACCAATAGGGAAGAGGAACCTAAGCACTGTTTTGAGAACAATAGGAACTTCTCTTTAGATGAACAAAGCATGAAGGCAGGATCTACGCTTTGTGGCTCATGGGATGACAACGATACAGTCGAAAATAAGACACAAACCCAAAACCAGCAATTAAGCTTGCATGAAGAGGATTGCAGAGAGAATGAATTTGGGATACATGAAGATATCCATCAAATGAGCAAGGAACAAGCTGAAGATGTCAGTGTGCTGGAAATGGTTCTTCCAAAAGGAGCTCACTATGGTCTGGAAACAATGAGCACAAGGACTCAGGAGGAGACCACATCTCATCTACTGTCCTACCAGATGGTGGATAAATCTGAAAATGAAAGCTCAACGTCAAAAGAGGAAAGAATGGAGCCAGATAGCACCGAGGAACATGTCCTGCAGCATGCACCAGATGATAAGCAGCTCAATCGTTTTAGTGCCATACAGTCAACATTGCAAGATTGGAAAGTAGCATCAGTGGAGGTCCAGTCTGGGGATGACATGAAAGAGTTTACAGAAGAAGATCATGAGAGAGACGAGGAAGGTTTAGCAGAGTATCCCTCTGATCTGTCTCAAAGTGACAGTAGGGACAGCAGTGAAGGTCATGAGGGTGGACAACCCAATCACACAGACACCAATCTAGTTGAGGTGCAGGCTGTAGGCCTAGGTTGTTCCTATGAGACGAAGAACCCAGAAGAACCTCTACTGACTTACAGTGTTGATGATGATGATGTCCAAAAGAAAGATCCTGCAGACATGTTCACTTATGTCAAGAATGAGGATCTGTATGTGGAGGCAAAAACTGGGAAATCTGATGATGGCATGTTGTTCCAGACAAAGCAGGGCAGTTTTAGAGATGCTGGATATCACCGTGAGATTTCAAACATTGGGGAAAGTTCTGATTTTGGATTCTCTGAGAATTTCCAATCCAATTCCAGTGAATGCTACATGAATGAGCAGCCCGACTACGATAGTGATTTCAGCAGTGATGGTGACTACTGCAAAAACCAAGAAGATATACCTGAATTCATTTCACATACAGTCTCAGAGGACAAAAACGCACCTCTCCAGAAACAAGAGCACACCTTCACAAAGGACTTTGCTACAGACTGGCACAGTATTGAGCATGAAGTAGTGGATGGGGTGGTCAAAGATAGTCAGAAACCAGAGATGTGTAGTGTAGAAGGTTTATCAAGCATTCCAGCATCTGTAATGAAAGGTTCTACTGAAACGGATTCGTCTGAAAACATAAGTGTGGGTGAGTCACATCCATCAGAGTCTGTTTCAGTGAAAACAGACCAGAACAACCAAGAACATAACACTGAACATTCAGAAGTTTCAGACATGGGAGAAAATATCAATACTTTGTTACCTGGGATGTTTTGGTCCCAGGACAACTTGAAGCTTGATGAGTATGACTGGGACATTAATGGAGAAGAGGTGATCTGTGATGAAGAGGACAATTTCCTGGAAGAGCTGGAGAATGACGGAGAGGAGACCGAGAGGGACTGGGAGAAAGAAAAGGCAAGAATTGAAGCATTTAACAGATACTACAAGCCTGTCGAAGGAGAGGAAAACAAGGGTAAATGCTCATTTGTGAACCATCTTAACATGCTAATACAAATAATAATAATAATAATTTTATCACATTTTTTATTAGGACAATTTTAAAATTTGGTAAATTCTTTCCCAACAACAACAGCGAGAAGCCACAAAGTGACATTTTGTTTGGAGCCAGAATCCTCTCAGTATGAGGAGGATAGTTACAGGTAAGACAGATTTCAAAGTTTGACACTTCACACGTAAAGTGTTTTGTGTTACGTACATAGCTTATACTTTAGAGCAGCATACAAGCTCATAAATTTGATTTGGATGTGTTTTTTCCACACAGCAGTGAAGAGGAACCAAGCACAAATGGTTGCATCAGTGAGGTGCATCCTCCAGAGTCCAGTTCAATCAAACAAGACCAAAGCAACAAAGAAGACAGCCGTGAACCCTCAGAAGTTTCAGACATCAGAGAAAATATCAGCACCTTTCTGATGGATGAGGACAACATGAAGCTTGATGATTATGACCGTGATATTAATGAGGAAGAAGAGTTCTTTAAAATGAACTCAAGTAAGGTGATCTGTGATGACGATGATGATTTCTTGGAGAAGCTGAAAATTGAAATAGAGAGGGATATGGAGCAGGAACAAGCGAGAATTGAAGCATGTAACAGATATTATGGAGAGTCTTTTAAAGAGGAGCAAGATGAGGGTAAGTGCTGAAATTTCCATGTTTCTATAGAAATTACACTAATCATGATTAGTTTAACTATTTTCAACATTGATGATGATAAGAAATGAGCCCCTAATCAACATATTGAAGACTGGAGTAATGGCTCTGTGTATATATGTGACCCTGGACAACAAAACCAGTCATAAGGGTCAGTTTTTCGAAATTGAGATTTGAATAAATAAGCTTTCCATTGATGTATGGTTTGTTAGGATAGGACAATATTTGGCCAAGATACAACTATTTGAATATCTGGAATCTGAGGGTGCGAAAAAAAAATCTAAATATTGAGAAAATTGCCTTTAAAGTTGTCCGAATGAAGTTCTTAGCAATGAATATTACCAATCAAAAATTGTTTTAATATATTTACGGTACGAAATTAGATAGATAGATAGATAGATAGATAGATAGATAGATAGATAGATAGATAGACACTTTCAATTCCCCTATAAAAAATTTTAAATCCCAGTGTATTGCTGGGAAAATTGTTTCTCTAGCTAAAATGTTAGGGCATGACGTTAGTATCAAGATCATAGGTTCAGATACAAATGCCTGCTAAATGAGTAAATATACGTGTACATTTCTCTCAGCAGTAACAGACGGGACCCACAATGTTATGTTAAGGTTTCACCAACAATCTTCTCAAAACGAGGAAGATAATGATAGGTAAGATGGATTTAATTCAGCTTCAAATATCATTCATATTTCAGATGTGTAAGTTTGCATTTTATATTGTCCTGCAGCAGTGAACAGGAATCAAACACAGAAGATGACACTGCCAGCATCCTGAAGACTGAGGTGAGAACATCAGATCATCTAGGATACAACAAAATGATCAACTAATAGTAACCCGGTCATTGTATTACTGCTATCCACATGTTTCAGGACCAAAGTGATTCTGATGAACCAAATGAGAGACGCTTGTACACAGGAAGGTACAAAGTCTTACCAAAGGGTTTACAAAAGGCAGACAAGAAGCTGAAGGAACACCCCAAAAGAAATAAGGTCAATATTAATTGGCTCAAAATGTACAAAAATACCATTCAAGTTAATGTATCAGCCTCAAGCTCAACAGCATTAATAAAGCCAATAATCTAACCTAACAGTTCAGACTGTGACCGAACTCTGTTTTGATCTCTCTATAGTGTCTTGTCCTGCTGCAGTCAGTGTTAGCAGTGAGTCTAGTGACAGCGGTGGGTGTGCTGTCTTACTGGTGGGCCACAGACACCCTGGACTGGATCTACTGAATTCACATGGATCTTGGATATTCAATATGACTCAAAACCCAAAATAAATATCAAGGCCTCTGCAAGTATGATAGAGAAACCACTGCACAAGGCCATGCAAAATCTCATGAAACAGACAAACCAGCAGATTGAGATAAAACCAACTTTATTTCCTTACAGAATGCAACCTATTATTGTAATGTTTGAACAGCGCTTTGAAATACAGCTTTGAAAAATGTTTGTCTTTTAACATGGTTTTCCCTGTTTTCTTATGTAAACCACATCTACATAGATGAATCTTCCTCCTTTTTATTAGGAAAAGTGATACATTTGCAGATGTACATGGTCTCTGGGCCCTACAGGAATCCTGTACAAACAAGTGCTTTCAGAGTAAAACTGACCTAAAAAAACAAAACAAATAAATACTTTTGATACCTTTTCAGTTCTTTTATCCCTGACTATATCTGACTGCAGTTAAAGGGGCTTTCTTTCATTGCCATTTCTTTCTAATCTCATTTGTCATTCTATTAGGTTGTCAACAAGCTATATTCCATAAACATGCCATGCATTTAATGTATTTTTTTAGGTCTGATAATTATTCAGTGCCTTCTTCACTACAGCATAAAACATGACATCATAGTGCAAGTTACCAATTATTAAAATTAAAACCGATTGCATACAATAGAATGGATATTTCTCCCCTGACCATCACCAGGGTTCCTGCAAATATTAATAGTTCCTCCAAAAGTACGCGTCTTTATCCGTAGGTGCTTTGACTTTAAATGTAGCTATAAAAAATTAATTAATCTTTCTATCCTACAGATGAGAAATGTAATAGGGAAGAAGTACCTGTACCTGTAAGGCATGCTCAGCTTTCTGCCGTCTTTTTCTTTGGCTGAAATTATTTTCTCCAAACGAACCTTTCAATTTAAAATGTTAATTAAATGCTTACTACGAACACATGCCCTGATTAACTACTCGTTTTCATAACAGTCTCATAACGCATTTCAGGAAAAGACATTGCTAATAAATAAATAAATAAATAAATATCTCATGAATCAAAATTATAGTTGTAAGGTAAAGTGTATTTGATACTGCATTAGCTGTGGTGACTACGCAAACTAATAAAGAAGAGGTGTTTTTTTTGTTTGGAAGATCCATGCCTGTACTTGAATACACACAATCTTTTCCGCTTGTGAATGCACACATCCTTAGCCTCTATGTTTGGGGTCTTTTTTTAAATTGCAATGTTTAAGATTCATTCTCGCTGCTGTCGCATCAATGCAGTCGGTAATTACTCCCATATTTTTGTTTTTGAGATTGACAATGATTCACTCCGACAAGTTTAAATGGCCAGATACACATCCATCAGCTACATCCAGGATACTGGTCCGCACAACAAACTCCAAACTATTTCAGACCAGGCCACATCCTGTCACCAAAAGGCCCCTCTCCTGTAAACGAAAGAGGGGATGGCGCTCCAGGCGTATACAGGTCAGAGTCCGTATCCGACTCCGCCTCGGCCAGATAAGGCCTGAGACGGGTACACAGCATCCCGCCGCCTCCACCAAAAAGCCCCAGACCCACCGGAGGCACGTAATCCTCTTCCCTGGCCTGAGAAATGCTAAAGCCGCTAAAAGAGCGCTCTAGTTCCTCATGGTCCACTGAAGGAATGGAGAGGGACGTGTCGCTCTCGACGGCCGCCTGCTGCTGAACGGGTCTCCTGGACCTACGCGAGCGACTGTTATCCCCGTTCTCGTGGAATGGCGGAGGCGGGATGCGGTACAGCGAGGGGTCGTCTGTGCCTATCGGCGAAACTCCTCGGCTGTTGTTCCAGAGAGGCACACTGAGGGGATGGTCATCCTGCTGATGCCATGAGGTAGAGGGCCGACATTGGCTGTCGGTGGGAGTCCCGTTGAGACCGGGATGGAGAGGGGACATGCTCTTTTTATTCTCATCCTCTTTCTCATTATGTGCTTTCTCACTGTTATCGTCAGGGCTGTGGTAAGGAGGAGCAGGGTAAGGGATTTTAAAGCCCAGAAGGGCTTCGGTCTCAGATCGTGGGATGCCCATATGGGTGGTGTACATGCTGACCAAAAAGTTGAGTTTGAGGTCCATTGCCCCCACCTGCACAAGGAGAGACAACGAGGCCCTTTAGCTCTGACATATACACTCTTAAAAAGAAAAGTTACAAAAGTGGGTCACATAGAAGAACCATCTTTGGTTCCCCAAAGAACCTTTCATTTTTTTGTCTTTTTCTTTTAGTTTTTAGTACTTTTTTTTTTTTAATTTCACTATAAAGAACTATTGTTGAATGAAGACGTTCCATGGATGTTAAAGGTTCTTTATGGAACCATAGATGCCAATAATGAACCTTTATTTTAAGAGTGCACAACTCTACACCAAATGAACTTGACGTAACATGCTTCACCTGTTTCTCCATCTTGCTCAGACGTCCCATCATGCTTGGGTCCTCAGCCATCTCTGTGTCGCTTTTGGGCTTGTCCTTTTCTCCTGGTGCAGCTCCCTTTCCCACAATCTGATCCACTCTAGTGATCCAATAGACCATCACTTCGACACATAGTCAATACACCCTCATCCACACTGAGATACAGTGGTTAACTGTGCACTGTACCGTGTCAAGTTAACAGAAATTAGCTCTGTGGAGGAGAACTTGAGCATGCGAATGCAAACATAGGACAGCAGGGTTAAAATAAGAGGGAAAATGATTGAAGCCTGATTTGCTGAAAGTGAGTGTATGCGATATTGCATGCTGCATGCAATACTGTAACGTTGTTAATCGGCATGCATTCATCTGGGACTTGGGAATCTCGTTGGAAAGATGACTCTTTTAAACAAATATGTGGTACAGCATTACACTGAGATGAATGCTCACAATACTGCAATGAAAACACATCTGAGTGTCTTTCTTTGCAGTTATTGACAGCAGTGTTGGGGAGAACACTAAAAATGAAGAAAAAAACTCACTTAACTATATTTTTCATTATGAAAATCTGATTATTCTAGTGAATCGTTTATCCTAAGAGGTCTTATCTATAAGTGTGATTCTTTCAATTAAATCATTCTATTTTTTTAGGGCATAAAGGCTTTAATGATTCTGCTTAACTAGGTCAGAATCAGTTTTGTTATTGTTAACTAAAACTTAAACTGAAGTAAAACTGAAAAAAGAGGCAAAAGCACATAATGAAATTATAATTCAACCGAACATTCAAAAATAAAAAGCTAATTCTAAATAGCAATAAAAGCAACAATAGTATATAAATACTAAAATAACTAATACTATAATAACACTGTCTGAATCATTCTCGCAAAATCTGTTCGATTAGGTGGTTTATGTAAATTAATAATAAAATAACCAATTCAAGTCCCTGCACTGCATGTTTGGTCTACTTAATGATAATATAGTTTGGTACTGTCATCTCAATTGAGACTCATATTCATTTATTCAAAAACCCACTAAAATGTCTTGGATTCAATTATAAATGATATCCTCAGAAAGATTTTGCATCCTTAAAGTAGCTTCTCAACATTGTTTTTTAAACATTCTGCACCAATGGCAGGCAATTTGACTTCTATAATTAATAATGTGGGGAAATAAATGAAAAATTATTTCAAAATGTTACCTGGTTCCATGCCTTATGATGCTTTGTGTGTTACACACTGTACATTTAATTTATTCTCTCTTCTTTAAAGCCTGGAACAACATGCACAATTGCATCCGTCCCCCGGTAAACAGGCTGCATGGTCACACCATAGTGTGTTGTATTATTGTACAGCAAAAACACTTTTTATTAAAAATTTAATGAAAGAACTTTTCATATGCTCAATTCTAAAGCAGTGAATTATTAATGGATAATTATATCCATCCAAAATGTAAATCTTTCTCAAGGTGAACACAGAATAACCAATCAAGAAACAATCCTACTGCACCAGTTAGTGATAAGTTTCCCCTCATGATTTCAGTCATTTAACTGTCATGACACTGCAGTTTTTAATACAATGCTGTCCAATAATAAACCCATTCAGCCTGGGAACGTCATTGGTGAATGATTACGTACTTCTTGTGACGAGGGGTCGAGGGGGGAGGGGGACCCACAATCAAATCTATCCTGGCAAAGTACACAGAGAGAACATGGATATTACTGATGAACTAGATTAGTTTGATTTGTATTAGTTATCTATTTTAGTTTTAGTTCCAGTACTTCTTGTGACGAGGGGTCGAGGGGGGAGGGGGACCCACAATCAAATCTATCCTGGCAAAGTACACAGAGAGAACATGGATACAAAGCATCATCAAGCAACACATGGAAACCACTCCTTGTACCCCAGCGAGGACCGTCGACTAATAAGAAAGAATATATTCCATACATGTCTGTTCTCACCCACTTCTAGGAACAGCGTTTCAGGTTTAAATGTATGATAGAAATGGTTTTTGCCGTTGGAATATATTGGAATATGTGTGGATGTTATTTCACAACATATATGAGGCTTATTTGAGAGAAGAGGAGTGAATCGGAATTCAAATAATTTTGAATGTGACAGAAAATAAAACCACTGTGAATGTGATTTTGATCAAGCAGTGTTGAAATACAGTATGTCATCCTGCTTTAGACTGTTTTTTTTATTTTTATGTTTGTAATATCAAATAGTGACCACCAGAGGGTGCAGCTCACATTCCAGCTACAGCTCTTGACAAATACTGATTGACTAATGAAGCAGGTGGATCCTGTCCCTGTTAGAAGGTTACCACAATGGTGAAAACTTTGTGATGTGATTCTTTTGTTCTAGACAGACTGAAGTCTTGCCTGGACTGAAGGTTTTTGATGCGTGACAGCATGTCCAGATGGCCTGCTGAATACTGCTCAATCACATCCATCACGTCATAGGGCCTACGGCTCTCTTTAAATCTCCTCTTAGACACCAGGAACCGCATAATACTGGGAAAGACAGAAGAGGTCTTTAATTAGGGTTTTTAACATATCTGAAAATGATCATATAATAAACATATAATATAATATATATAATTTGATTGTCCCACCAGTTAAATTAGTCTTTTCAGCATTTTTAAACAATTATGAATCATTAAAAAATAAAATGTTTAAAATAAATTAAAATGTATTTAGTTATTTATAAAAGTTTTGTTTTTAAAAATAATTATAATTATACCTAATTGTTGTGAGAGCAAATATTTCTACCCCTAGTCTTTTCTAGTCTGGAGATTGCTGCCTCTTACCAGATTGTTCTGATGGTGACCTTGAGTCCCGGAGAAAGATCCGGCACAAACTCGCAGTGGAAACCCTTGTCGTCCCCAAACTCGTCTGGAAGACTTGCCTCTACAACACACAAAACTCCCAATGTAAAGAGTCCTAATGTTAACGAAGAACAGCCCTTTGACAAGATTAAAGATTACAGAAAACATCTGCCATGGCAGACATGCTCGATAAACTGCTAAAGGCACTCCACATTATACAACAGTTAGTTCCAGTCCTTGAATTCGATTGGCTGAGCGGCGTTCCAAGAGTGATATTTACTGTAGTCCAACAGCAGTGCAACTTGTCAATGTTAGTATCACTCTGCCTGCGTTACCGCCATTCTCAACCAGAGCATCAAGTTGAAGTTGTGTGAAGTTACATTATAATACCATGCATATTTTTACCTTTTTATTTAAAGAGAAACCAATCCGATGTATAGTTGACATTTGAGGCTTAATACTATAGAAAAGCAATAAAAGTTTTTCAGTTAGTGTTTTCAGCTTGTTTATTTTCATATAAAAATATGGCATGCAGTTGCTTCAAACAAAGGTGTAAACATCATTCATTTAATCGCAAATTAATAATCGCAATTACAATTTCAAAGGAATAATCGACAATTATGATTTTTGTGATAATCGTGCAGCCCTACTTGAAATAACGTCCTATTTACAGAACTGTTGTATAAAATCAATATCACACTTGCAAATGATGACGGTGTTCTGAAAATCAGCATGACTGTATTTTAGCTGTAGGAATAAGGCTATGCACAGCTATGCTGAAATTCAGTACAATAGTTGCTCATGTGATATTGCTAGAGTAAAATATTATAGATCATCATACAGGCTTGAAACGACATAAGGTTGAATAAATGATGACAATTTCAATTTTTGGGAGAACTATCCCTAAGCACATCAAATCAGAGGATGTCCTTGAGTAAGGCACTTAAATTACAAATTACCCCAAAGTGACTTTCCTTTTATTTATTATACACTTTGGAAAAAAGTAAATGCTAAATGACAAGTGAGATTTTCTAAATTGAAATTAATTTATTCCACACTTCAGAAGTGCTCCGGGGGGAAAAATAGATGAAAAATAGTAAAAATTTCTGCGTCTGTGAAATTGATATCCCTCTTAATCTCATGATCACTTTGTCAGCATTAGTCAAAAGCTTCAGACATGCTTTAATATTTCAAAGTATTAAACAATAGTGTTACTCATGCATGAAGCACTTACCAGAACCTGCTAGCCTGAGCATTTATCACAATAGCACATGTGAGAGAAACTTTTGTGCACCTAACAAAATCTAGCAATCGGGCAAATTTCAACCCCCTGAAAACCGCTGGTTAACATGAAAAGCTAAGACAAAAAAAGCTTAAGCATTAGTACCATGTGTCATCCTTATGCCATATGAATGAGGATGTGACAGCCGAAAAAGCATATCCTATTCAAATTACATAACAACCAGCTAGTTGAAACAGCACAAGACCGATTTCTGGAAACAAACTTGTTTCCTTCATAAACTGAGAAATTCTGTCATGCAGGTTAGTGCAAAGTACTTGATGGAAAGTGTAAGTTGCAAAGTGTTTCATTAACACCTTCATGGAACACATTCTGTCATGGGATGAGCATGAGACAGATATCCAGACAAATGAGTAACATTTGCTTTGCTCTACTATCACACTTCACCGTCATATGGCTGACAGATAAGGCTAATACAGCTGCTGTAAAAACTAGCCAAGCATCATTGAAGAAATTCATATTTTGTGTGATGCTTCAAGTGAGATGAAACTTTCAGCCAAGCGTTCATGACAGAGAGTGTTGGATGATGGGCAGATCTGTAAAGATATGCTGCAGCTCAGTAATTAAGGAGCTATTTTTAAAACATGCATAGTGTTTCTTTAGACTGGCGTTGAGAATTTTTTTTTTTTTGGACTAGTGCTAAAGAGATGCAGCCCCGGACAACATAAAGTCTTACTGATTAAGCCCTCAATCGCTGCCAAAATGTGAAGAGAAAAAGAGAGAAAAGGTGAAAGATAGAGAGAGAGAAATAGAGAAAGATGGTCAAAGATGACAATGATTTCAACCATGCAACTGTATAACACATGGTTTTGCTTATATTAGGCTTATTTTACATTAGGAGAGGGGGAGATTTGCTTACACCTCATTAAAAAGCACTTGAAGTTGAGCACTGCAGAGTTATGCCAAGAGCACAAAACATGTCATGAGAGAAACAGAAAGGGGCGAATTCACTTAACAACTGTGACACTGTAGCAAGCGGTATTTTAGTGGGAAAAAAAATACATTTCATTCACTAACCATTGAAAATCCAGTTTAATTGTCAGTCTTGCCAGGGCAAACATGCTAAATCAGCAAATGCTCCTGTGCAAATTTCATTTAGCATGAAATATTCAGGCGTTTGCACTGTTGCCTGATTTGCAGTTCCTGTAGTGAATCAGATACTAAACAATACAAATGCAGTAGCATGTGCAAAAAAATTATAATTTAAAAAATAAAAACACTATCAGCTGATGCAATTCATTCTTAGTGAATTCCCCCCAAAGCGTTTTCACCATGGATGAAATATTTGGGGGGATCAAGCATCTAAGAAATGAACTTTTCCACGACATTCTAATTTATTGAGATGCACCTGTAAACCTTTTAAACCTATTAAATCTTTAGAGAATAATACAATGTTCCACTGCAACTCTCTGCGGATATGTTTTGAAACATTAAGCCACTTTCATGTGTTTCAGCAAGGGGACTAAACCTGAAATACAGATCAGTTTTTATGTTGGGCTGTTTCTTTAAATAGAAACACACACCTGTCGTCTTATGAATTCTAATGAATGGACTGTCACTGATACCATCTTTTGTGCTAAAATACATTGAGCAATCCAGTGTGGCATCTGGTACTGTGCCAGGGAATTACAAACTATTCTCTCTAGCTGCTGAAGTCCCACACTGACACTTAAGAAAAAAGAAGAAGAAAAGAAACCTATCCAGAGCGAGTGTTGTAAATTAGTATTGTAATGTACAGGTAAATGTACTTAAGTATTTAAAATCAGCATTTATCTTGCACTCCGAATAACAGAGTGTGTATCCCAATATTCCTGTGTATGTGTGCATGACAACATTCTCTGACCTTCAGAGTTCTGCCGAGAAGCTCCATCTTTCATTCTGAAAGCGTGTTTTGCTTTGTTCCGCTCTGTGAAGCTCAAGCTCTTGGTCACTTTGCTTGGACTCTCTTTGACTTCCTTCCCCCCGGTGCTCTTAGAGGGACTGCCTTTCTCTTTCAAGCCGGGCTTACGACTGCACAGCAGACACAATGACACACAAAAGACAAACAAAAAAAGCAAAGGAAACACAAATCATCCTGAGCCCACACTTAAACTATTTTCCAGTGTGGGGACAGAAATAATTCCTGAAACCACCCAGTGCTAAAAAGAGAATACTCAGTAAATTATATTAATGACCATAAACTGCAAAAAAGTAACTTTGTATGTCTATCTCTCATTAACATTTGTTTTAAGAATAAATCTCACTTTTTTCATAAGATTTATGCATTAAGCAAGCAAAAGGAGCCCCTACCAAGTATTGAGTACATGTACAGTAAATTAACATACTTTCCAGAAGGCCAACAATTCACTAAAAATGTTTTTTTTTTTATTGGTCTTATGAAGTAAGATAGTGTTTGTTGAGATAGTGAATTGGTGGGTTTTTGTTAAATGTGAGCCAAAATAATCACAATTAAAAGAACCAAAGACTTAAACTACTTCAGTCTGTGTGCATTGAATTTATTTAATACACGAGTTTCACAATTTGAGTTGAATTACTGAAATAAATGAACTTTTCCACGACATTCTAATTTATTGAGATGCACCTGTAAACCTTTTAAACCTATTAAATCTTTAGAGAATAATACAATGTTCCACTGCAACTCTCTGCGGATATGTTTTGAAACATTAAGCCACTTTCATGTGTTTCAGCAAGGGGACTAAACCTGAAATACAGATCAGTTTTTATGTTGGGCTGTTTCTTTAAATAGAAACACACACCTGTCGTCTTATGAATTCTAATGAATGGACTGTCACTGATACCATCTTTTGTGCTAAAATACATTGAGCAATCCAGTGTGGCATCTGGTACTGTGCCAGGGAATTACAAACTATTCTCTCTAGCTGCTGAAGTCCCACACTGACACTTAAGAAAAAAGAAGAAGAAAAGAAACCTATCCAGAGCGAGTGTTGTAAATTAGTATTGTAATGTACAGGTAAATGTACTTAAGTATTTAAAATCAGCATTTATCTTGCACTCCGAATAACAGAGTGTGTATCCCAATATTCCTGTGTATGTGTGCATGACAACATTCTCTGACCTTCAGAGTTCTGCCGAGAAGCTCCATCTTTCATTCTGAAAGCGTGTTTTGCTTTGTTCCGCTCTGTGAAGCTCAAGCTCTTGGTCACTTTGCTTGGACTCTCTTTGACTTCCTTCCCCCCGGTGCTCTTAGAGGGACTGCCTTTCTCTTTCAAGCCGGGCTTACGACTGCACAGCAGACACAATGACACACAAAAGACAAACAAAAAAAGCAAAGGAAACACAAATCATCCTGAGCCCACACTTAAACTATTTTCCAGTGTGGGGACAGAAATAATTCCTGAAACCACCCAGTGCTAAAAAGAGAATACTCAGTAAATTATATTAATGACCATAAACTGCAAAAAAGTAACTTTGTATGTCTATCTCTCATTAACATTTGTTTTAAGAATAAATCTCACTTTTTTCATAAGATTTATGCATTAAGCAACAAAAAAATGGTGCTAAACAGATTTAAAAAAAACTTAATTCAGTATATATTCTCTAAAAACAACTCTTAATACCTTAGATTTTTTTAAATTATATTTTTATATAGAAGTATACATGTATTTGTTTTTGCTTGACAATTTATGTCGCTAAATATCAGTCCATTCTACAAGTCAGTACAAGTCTACATCGCCCAGTGCAAAATAAACAAATAAATAAATAAATTTAAAACATAAATAAAAATTAACATTTAAAACTAAGAAAATTCTAAATTAAAACTAAGTGCAGATGGATTTCATCAGATACAATTGGTTAAACAGCTAAAAGCATATTTACTAGAAAACGTATTACTGTTTACTGATATATTTTCTTGTTTGCATGTTACAGCTTATAAAAATTCTTAAAAGAAAAAAAAAAAATTGAAGCCACCAAAAAGAAAACACTGAAATGTAATAAAAAATTAAATAAGTGCTTAGAAAATACAGATATGTACATTTCTAAAATGACTGAAACATGTAACCATTAGACACTGTAAGCAATTTCACAACTGTACATTAAAACACATTTTAATTCCTTAGAAAACACTGAATTAATCGTTTCTGCATTCTACTTTAATAAAGATCGGACTTACATGGGAAAAGACATGGATAATGGTGCTTCTCAGTCATGCAATGCAATCCACAACTTCTGGATGCAACAGCAGACCCACATGCTGCCACAGCGGAAACTTTTCAGCAACAAAGCAATGAAACACATGCATGTTGTTGGGCATGCTGAAAAAATACACAACCGTTATAGTAAACACCTTTTAAAAAACAGCCAAATTAATAAATGAAAAAGTGAGAGACCCCAATAAAACACAAGGCCGCTTGCAGAGGAGGATGCTCTCGTGGGATTGAGGTAAAAAGCGATGGGAAGCGCTTCCAGCTGCAAAGTGGGAAAGTTGATCCGCAAGCAAAACTCTACCACAAAGCTAAACAAATGTCTGCTTCTCTGGTTCGAACACGACAACATTTTTAGATGATGGAGAGCAGATCATTTCTCAGCCCACCTGAGCTGACGAGAGATTAAAACACGAATGTGCACTATGCTGTATGTCTCAAAAAATGTTGAAATATTTCACTTGAGCTGATGATGGTACATACTGAAGGAATACATTTAGAAATAGGGGAAAAATCAAAGTCAGTAGGGAAGGAAAGAGACAAATTCAAATGCTGAAGAGAGAGATATGGGCGTGCAGACGTTAGTATCTGTGTGCAACGGTACCTATTGCTTCTCGGGCAGCACCCACACAGGGTGTCTTTGTGTGAAATTTCACTACTGCGAATGTGGTTGAAGTGGGTCATGAGAGAGAAAAGATTATACAAGCAGTGGTCAAAAATGGTTTAGGCCATGTCCAACTGTGGGACCAAAAATCAGAGGTATTTCCCCCTAAAACCCCCCAAAACATCCAACAGATTTTGAGCTACCCTGTTGAAAAAACAAGCATATGCTGGTTAGGTATGTTTTGAAGCTTGGCAGCTGGTTTGAACTGGTCCTTAGTTGGTCATGAGCTGGTTTAAGCTGGTTATGAGCTGGTCAAGTGCTGGTCCTAAGCAACTAGCTCCTGCTCAGGACCAGCTTAAACCAGCTGCCATGTTTCAAAACATACCTAACCAGCATATGCTGTTTTTTTCAACAGGGTAGGTGTCGTTATACTGAATGAAATGAAGGAATATGTTGGTTTAATGAGTCACAGGTTGCACTTGATTTTACAGGATTACAATAGCAGGTCTTTTACAGGGCAGAACACCAAAAAACATGTGTGATTGTTTTCTTTAATGAGACGTTTCAGCATTAATACCTTTAAACTGCATTGATTATGCTGTGTCAGTATGATACTGACTAATTCATCTCCCTGAAAAAAACACCTGAAGATACTGTAGTATAAAGTGCAACCAGGTTGTCTTTGAATAACCTTTGTGATTACAAATGACTTCAAACACAGCAATATGGGCTGTTTTCTCATTTGAAAAATGATGATGGTGCTCTGAAACTACGATTATCTGTGTGTTTGAATGACGTGATTTGGGAATAGTGAAGTATCTATGGGAAAATCCATGACAACAAACCTTGGAGTGACTTCTAGCTGGGAGTCCTTCCTTTAGAAAGAGAGAAAAATGTGATGTTGAAAGCAATAAAGACACGAGATTAAAGCAGGCAACACCACGAACAAACATTTTAAACAGGAATAACATTCACAAATACAGTGGAGGCCAAAAGGCTGAGAGAACTAGTGAGTGAATATTCTGCCTTTCTTTTTTCATTTTTTCCCATTCTTTTCTAATATAGGTTTTTATTATAGGTTTTATTATTATATTATCAGCATAACAATTTGAGTGAAAATTATCAGCATTTCAGCCGCAAAAATTACAAGTTTGTGTAAAGCCTGATTATTATGTTCTCAAGCATGATGTGATCCAAAGAGCATTGGAAGCAAAAACATCTGACCATGTGTGCAAAGAGTCACATGATCAATCACTTTGATTAATGAGCTAGTAATAGTGCTGAACGTGTTAAAAAAAATCCAGATTTTCAGTGTGGTCTCAGACTTTAGACCCCTCTGAGATATGATAATTCTAATATTATTTACATTTTAATATTTAAAATGCTCTTTAGTAAAATGACCAGACCTGAAACCAGATTTTCCCTTCAGGCTTCTTAAAATGTCGAGCTGATTTACAGGAGGGATGAGTCTTTAGGTAGAGGCAGAACAGTGAAAAGACTTTTAAAATGCTTAAAAACAGCATATCAAACTGCAATAAACTGCTGAAGAGTGTTGAAAATATTCAAAAACACTAATGAGAATTAATATAAACAGAAAAACAACATACTAACAAACAAACAAAGAAATGGGTCATTAAAATACAGTATCTACAGTTACAGTGGTCTACAAGATGACTACCTGTACATTGGGACCGACACAGTCTGCTCATAAAAGTCCCATGTGGACAGCAGGTCTGTCCGTGAAAGATTTGTGGCATAAAATCTCCAAGCTGCCTGATGTGGGGAAAAAATCATTGAAATTAACTTCTATGGCAGCAAATGACTTCCATAGTAATACATTACCGTATGCAGAAACCACCAACATTTCAAGCCATCTAAATCAAAGAAAACCTGATGAGAGTGAAAGTTGAAAGATGATCCTCAATTTATCATTTTTATCATAGCAAAGTCAACATCAACTAAATATGGTATTAGTAGTCCAACTGAAAGATATTAGTAAGCACATTTATAGACACCAGAAAGGCCTACAAATGCTGATTTCCTCAGAATGTGTCTGGTGTGAATTACAGTAGAGTTATAGGTCTGACCTGGATAAGAGCCGCGGCAGGGTTACGACGCTTCTCAAAATGTTTCTGTCTGTGCTGCTCTTGAACTTTTAGAGCAAATCCTGAGCCCAGGATTCCCTGCAACAGAGAAAACGGTGCAGAAATACAACTGTATGTGAGCCAAGTCTGAAGTCAGGCACTGGAGATGCTCAACACGTCATTTTGGTTTGAACTCACCGCAGGAAGAGCGAAAAAAGCTACACCGACCAGACTGAATGTGGCAGCAATTAGACGCCCATTCCACGTGACAGGAAACTTGTCCCCATAACCGATAGTTGTAAGAGTGACCTAGAGAATAGAAATGATTGTGCTTAACAATGGCATAGCTTGTGTATATACTAATAATTTAACCTAGTAAGGCTCTAGGAAGGTCACGTAGAGGTTATAAGTTCAGTCTCATGTCCTTGAGACCAGTTTACGGAGTAATGTCCACTATTAGTTTACTATAAGTCACTTTGGAGTAAAATGATCTGCCAAAGGAGCCTAAGAGGAGCAGCCAGTTCTTTTATGGCACTGGTCCATTTGTGAAATGGATCTATGAACAGCATCTTATTTCACTGTGTCGTATCATCTCATTTGATCTGATTAGATTGAGGCAGCAGGCTACTGTGGGCTCGGATGAAGCTCTAGCACTTACCAGCCCCCACCAGAGGGCGTCTGCGTAAGTGTCGAACATCTCTGCATTGTCATCCTTCTCCACGGAGTACACCAAGAAAGATGCCAGGATAAGACAAAGGAATCCAATATACCATGCCGTAATGAGTTCCTACATTTAGGGATTCAGAAATGTTAGGAAAATCCAGAACATGTGATGCACTCCTAACCTAAAATAAAACATGATAACTGCATGCAATGCCATATAAAGATTATTTTTCAAACTGCTTTAATGCTCAGCATAGCAGTATTTATAATCAAAAACAGTAAAAAGAGTAATATTGTGAAATATTATTACAATTTGAAAAATAATTAGTTTTCTATTTGAATATATTTTAAATGTAATTTATTCCTGTAATGGCAAAATTGAATTTTTATCAGCCATTACAGTCTTCAGTGTCAATGATCCTTCAGAAATCATTCTAATATGCTGATTTGATGCTCAGGAAACATATTTTACTATATCAAAGTTAAAAACAGCAATACTTGTATTATGCCTTGAGATGCTAATGTGCTTTTCTTTAATAATAAAAAAAAAAAGTTAAAAACAGCTGTGCTGCTTAATATTTTTGTGGAAACTGCTACATTTTTCAGGATTCTTTCATGAACAAAGTTTAAAAGAACAGAGTCATTGTTATAATATAAATGAAAAGATTATTTTAAATAGTCTTTGACTTCATCATCATAGATTTTTTAAAAATTTTTATCTCTTTATCTATTCCTTCTCTTTCTAGCGTGTACTTATAATAATTAGTTTTCTATTTGAATATATTTTAAATGTAATTTATTCCTGTAATGGCAAAATTGAATTTTTATCAGCCATTACAGTCTTCAGTGTCAATGATCCTTCAGAAATCATTCTAATATGCTGATTTGATGCTCAGGAAACATATTTTACTATATCAAAGTTAAAAACAGCAATACTTGTATTATGCCTTGAGATGCTAATGTGCTTTTCTTTAATAATAAAAAAAAAAAGTTCAAAACAGCTGTGCTGCTTAATATTTTTGTGGAAACTGCTACATTTTTCAGGATTCTTTCATGAACAAAGTTTAAAAGAACAGAGTCATTGTTACAATATAAATGAAAAGATTATTTTAAATAGTCTTTGACTTCATCATCATAGATTTTTTAAAATTTTTTATCTCTTTATCTATTCCTTCTCTTTCTAGCGTGTACTTATTTGAACAATGTCTAAAAACTTGGTATTACAAGCACTTCCTGTATCTGTTTGCCTCTTTTAAGAAGAATCGCTTTATGTATCCCCCAATTGTAAGTCGCTTTGGATAAAAGAGTCTGCTAAATGTCTAAATGTAAATGTAAATGTAGTCTTGTCCCAACTTCTTATTCAGTACATCTCTGAATACAGCAAAGAAATTTGCTTTTAAACCATTCCACAGGGTGATTAAGGCCATTAAATAGTTTTAATAGCTGCAGACTAAACAGAGTGATATAGTTTCTCCAGTAATAGAAACTAATGAATAATAATGAATTTGCTGCCCACTGACCCAAATGGCAGACTGGTGGAAATATGCTCACTCAGTAACCTACTTAATGTGAACTTCAGCAATATCTGTGTTCAATTAGTACACATTACTACCCATTCAGCACACAAATCCATATGTAAACAAACATAAACATTGGTCTATACATACAGTATGCATATTGATAGACACTCAATACGTGAGTTTAACAAATGATCTGGTGTTTAACATTTTGTCCTAACCAGGCAGGCACAATGTGATACAATGATTTTGTTGCACTGCACAGAATTTCTGCTTTCAGTGTGGACAGAAACATGTACTGTATGTATTGTACTATTCTTTCATATGAATACAGGCATGGTCACCTTGCTGTGTGCGTAAACAACAGATCCCAGGAGTTTCCATGTGCCTCCACGGCGGTCCATACGCAGCATTCGAAGGATCTGAAGAAACCTCAGACTCCGAATGGCAGAGGTGGCAAAAACATTTCCCTGTGAGCCAGCGGCCAACACAGACACTGAGGCAAAAAGGACCATGATATCTGCAGAACAAGAGTGTATATTAATTATCAGATGAACTCCCAAAGACGACTGTCATCCTTTAAGAAGCCGTTTGATTGGAAAGTCCATATGGAAAATTATTTGATTAAGCCAATTATACTGTCATCAACCTTGAGTGCATTATATGAAGAATAAGGAAGAAGGAAGAGAGAATTAGAATCATTTCCTTTCTAATGTCTTAAAGGGATAGATCACCCAAAAATCATTATTCTGTCAACATTCACTCACCCTCATGAATTCTTTCTTCAATAAAACACAAGAGAGATATTGAAGAATGTTTTCTATTTGTGTTCAACATCAGGGTGGTTAAATGCTGACAGAATTTTCATTTTTGGGTGAATTATTCTCGTAATGTGATTGGGATCAGTCTCATATTCACTGGCATTATGTATTCTTTCAAATCTTGCACTAAAGGAGTTCACATTAATCTACTGTAGCACTGGCATTCAGTGTATCAAGTGTCATAACTCATGACAAATTTTATTGTCTCTTGAGCAGAAAGAATAGCAAGAGAGAGAGAGAGATGAGAGAGAGAGAGAGAGAGAGAGAGAGAGAGAGGAGGAAACGTGCATTACAGAAGAAAATCAGAACAGACCAAAAAAACTGAAATGATTTTCTAACCGATGATACAGAAGGGTTTGCGAGCAAATCTCAGCCTTCCTCTCCATCCTCTGTAGCGACAGCAGCACCCGGCTGCCCAAATCCGTACAATATATTCCACACCAAACACCACGATTGTCACAATTTCCTAGACAGACAGCAGACACATCCACTTACTGACATTTATTTGTACTGTCTTATTTATATATATATATATATATATATATATATATAGTTATAATTTAATATAATGCCATATAATATAATATAATATAATATAATATAATATATTATACAAACTGTTAACAAATGAGATAAATGTAACAGGTAGATTATACATAGCCAAAAGCTATAATAGTTACAAATCAAAAATACACACATCACAGCACGTCCAAGCTTTTTATGTTAAAAGAGCACTATGAAAGTGCTTGATGGCTACTGTTACACTGACCCGAACAGATCTATAAAGTGTCATGTTCACAGCAATTCACATCACCACTGGATAATGTCCAATTTGTCACGTTCTTTTAGAATGTGGAACAGGATCTACTGTGATCTACAATGTCTACAATGTGCACACATACGTCTGAAGTGTTTGATATAAAAATCTGACAGCAACACTACCATGAATCAGCTTCTGCCTGAAAATCATGTTAAATGAGGATCAGATACAAACCAGGATGTACAAGGCACTCTCAGAGCTTTTCTTGTGTTCTTTGATCGTTGCGAACACTGACAGAACCAGGCAGGAGAACACCAGCAGAAACCTGCAAGACAGGACAGTAGTAAATCAAACCAAAAAACGCTGGGTTGTTCTCTCACATGAGATATCAAAGCATCTGAACAAGCTCCAACTGAGAAGTTTCAGTATTAGAAGTTATTCATTGACATAATTTTGTTTTGGACAGAGCAGTCGTTGCATATTCATGAAAGACATTGAGTTTAGACAGACACATAATTGGAATTGGGGCCTCTTGGGCCTATCGTTGGCTTTGTGATCTATGAGGAAAAATACTGGCTTGAGCGAGGCAAGAATCCTTTGAGAGTTCCTGACACTCTGCAGTTAAACTCAGAGATAAATCCCTGAAGAGAGAGAAGGAGAGTGAAGTGAAATGAGACTAAAATAGCTGAAAGTCTCATTAGCATAAAACCTCTCTGGGCCTCACACCCATGTACAATGAGAGAAGAAAAAAAACAATGACAGATAAACCTGAAATACTCTGAGTCTAAAACTCACATCCAAAGCTACCTGGAGACTACCAAAACATTTTACTGCAGTGGTTTTGCCCCGATTCACACCGTTAGAGAGGCAACAAACAAAGTGATTTGTGAGATGTGGCGCTGTTTGATAAAGTTAAATGTCAGAGAATCTCAACCATCACACAATCAATGAAAGCACTCAAATAACTGATGCAATGTCTTCAATAAGCAGAAAATAACACATCCAGAGAAGAAGTCAGTCGGAGATGATGAGGGTGTCAATGGAACTAAAGGTCTCCTTTTCATTCTACTTTCTCCCGAAAAAAACAAAAAAAAAAACACCCTGCACACTTGCCTAAAACCTGCTTCCTGAACCATGAGCTCTCATCAAATGCAGTGTCTTAGTTAAGATTGAATTGATTATGAGGTTATTTGATCTAAAACATAATAATAATTTTAAAATACTGCAGATGTAGCTACTGAGAATCCCTAAATTATTTTGAGACATGTTTATAATTTATAGTTCCATAATTTCCTTTGGGGTCTGTAAGATTTTTTTGTTGAAAGTTTGGCGTTGATCTTACCAACCTCAATCTTTTGCACGTGTACATGTTCTTGTGCTGTTTGCATTCATTCGTTTTATGTGACATTTGTTTCAAATCGAACATTTTAACAAAACAATTTTTTCTCTTTTTCTATTACGGTGGGCAATTTCACTTTACGAGGCAGACATTATTTAGTCTTTGGCCCTGAGGGAGTAATAATTTAGGCAGGATTCCATACTTCTTCATTACGCAAAGAAAAACATTATAATAAAGAAACTGTACTTATATGCTATAATGCTATGCTATTCATTTTCAATATATCAGTATAGATTTCAAACAGACAAACTTTGCTGTTGCTGTTGAATGTCTGTAGAGGTGTCAGGCACAAAACACATCCTCCCCACTAGGCTGCTCCTTGCCCCAGGTATTAATATTATATGTCATAACAGAAAGTATCTGCTAATTTGGAACAATCTAACAGAAGGAGATCAGTAAAACAGACTGGTCCTAAAGGGAATGAGGCCAGAGATGAATAAATGAAGGCTGCATTAATAAAGGTGGCAAACAGAGGATTAGAAAGTCAATAGAAAGTAAATCACCTCACAGGAAATTTAATCTTTACACATTATGCATGGACAAAAAATAAAAAATGCTGAGTCGTACAGAACCAGTGACATCAGACTCCTGACGTGGCTTACAGGAAACACATCACATTATGAGAAATTATTGCTTACCTTCCTGCTCTCAGCTGGGTTGGACTTTATGGCCAATTAGTAGCTTCAGAGGATAAGGAAGCCATTTATTATAAACTTGCCCTGAAATCACACTGACATTGATACAACTACACTGGACAAACCATGGCATTTCAAGAGCAGCTGAATGCAAGTTTTGTACTTCACTGATGCTGATGACTTACTGACATATGTAAATCTCTAAGATCTGAATGACCTGCCTTTTCTAAATGCTGCCAGAACATTTTGCATTGAAAGTGCGAACTAGAAAAATCGAATACGATTTTCACAAACAGACAAACTGACCACAGAGGCATCAAGCACAAGCTTGGTAAGACTGCAATTACCTCAGCAACAATACAGCATTATGACACACTCACTATGACACACTCACTATTTGTGATACTGCTGAACCTCTGAACATCAGATGTAAGAAATATAAACCAGTTACCTAAACCTGAAAACAAATAATCATTAAGACCTTTTGTCTTTGTCAGACTGGTTATTGCTCTTGATGTTGGCAATGGCCACAGTCTAATCTGGAAATTGTAAAGCGGAGTAGATTATATGGGCCAGTCAAACAGAGAGACAGCAAGGACACATTCTTTGAGTCAGCAGTGAATAAGGTAAAAGAGTAATTGATTTATCTCATTCACCCCATTAGTACAATTCTCTCAAAACCAGACTCTCCAGACTGAACCAAGAACATACAATGATTTGTTATTAGGTGACATTAAATCGTAATTCACATTAAATCACAATTAAGTAATGTCTTAATGATTACAATACTGTTTAAAAATTTGGGTCCTGAAATTTTTTTTTTTTTTATGGTTTTGAAAGAAGTCTCTTGTGCTCACAAAAATGGCTGCATTTATTTGATCAAAAATACAGCAAAAATGGTATGTCTTTAGTGTCACATAATCCTTCAGAAATAATTCTAATATGTTGATTTGGTGCACATTTGGAACCAATTGATTTGGGAAAAAAAACATTTCTTATTTAGGCCTATTTGAAATAATAAAGCATTTATTTGAAATAGTATTTCTGTAAGATCACAAATGTCTTTGCTGTCACATGTTTTGATCGATTTATTATTCATATAATTATTTTAAATCTTACTGACCCCAAATTTTTGAACGGTGAGTTTATTTATTTATTTATGATTTAACGCCATGTCAGCAGCAGTGGCTATATTCATGGCAAGAGGAAACATTTCAATTTCACAGTTCAGTCATATATATAATTTCAAAAATTATATACATATATAAATAAATATGTACAAATATACAAAAACATACATATAATAAAAATAATAACAAGAACAAAAGTAAAAAGAACAATTATATAGAGTCTTTCAGCTTAATGCATGACAAAAAAATTTAAATCGTCCCAGGAGAATTCTTTTTAAAAATGTCAATTAATATATTTTCTGAATAAAAACGTTGCCTAGTATTATTTAAAATTGGACGTTCAATTAAAATATGTTTTATACTCAAAAGATTTTTACACCTTTCACAGACCGGTTTCTCTTCCCCTTTCAACAGATAAGAATGAGTGAGTCTTGTATGACCAATTCGACACCTCGTATACACAACCTGATCATATCGATTTTCAAAATTATAACAGTTTATACCTTGATTCAATAGTGGGTTTACCTCATACAGTTTGTTATGTATACATTCATTCCACTCCATTTGCCATTTATTATTAATGTACTGAGTCAATAACGGTTTCAAGTCAGTTGCTGGTATTTTGCATTCTGGAGTGCTTCTTTTGCTGTTTTATCAGCCTGTTCATTGCCAGCAAATCCCATGTGTCCAACAAAAAACAATATTAAAGTCTTGTTTCTTTAAAAGATCCACTTTTTCTACTATACTGATTATTATAGGATGATCCATTTTTAAAGTCTCAAGTGCTTGCAAACAAGATTTAGAATCTGTGCAAATTAAAAAATGACGATGATGCTCTTTTTCTATTTGCTCCGGGGCTAAAAGCAATGCAAAAGCTTCAGCTGTAAAGATTGAACTTTGTCCAGGTATGCACTTGCCAAAACGTTTTGAATCAATCACTACTGCTGCAGACACATGACTGTCCGGCTTTGATCCATCTGTATACACTGGGACATGAGATGGTAAGCTATGCCTTATCCAGAAATTCCTGTTGGTAAACAACTGGATGACTACTTGTTTTTTTATACTGGGCCAAGTTCATCATAATAATTGTTTTTTTAATATTCCAAGGTGGTATTGGGCACAGATGTCTCGATGTTAAAATGTCCAAATTGATGTTCATGTTCTCCAAGTGAGGTTTTATACGAATTCCAAATGGGCTGATGTACCTTGGTCTGGGTTCATATAGGTGTGAATGTTGAGGATGAAAGACAGGGTTACTTTCAATGTTACAAAAATGTGCTGGGTTACTTTCGTTGTTTTGAACGGTGAGTGTATATAGTTGTATATTACATACTAGACTAGAATATTATATTCTTAACCTTCTGATTGCATTAGCTGCCAATAACTGACTACCATCAGCAAAATCCCGTTGCATATACAGTACGTACCTATACAGGCACAAATACGCACTCGCATATCAAAGCGTTCACCACTTCCAAATATCTCCTTGTACCCCTTTCATTAAGCCTGAGAAATAAAGGCTTAGCTGAGTCTGTACAGCAGGCAAAGTGCAATCTCTGCATTTAATGCTTGTGAAAGAGAGAGGAAAAAGCACTTAAAGTAAGAGGCCAAAGTCAGCACACTGCACTGCACTCGGGGTAGGTTTAGGGGTAGGGTTGGTGTAGGGCAATAGAATATACGGTCTGTACAGTAGAAAAACCATTACGCCTATGGGATGTCCCCACTTTTCACAAAAACAAACCTGTGTGTGTGTGTGTGTGTGCACTAGACAGAGTAAAATAAGGATGGTGACTCTATAAATAATGTATCTTCAGAACTCACATTCATGTCTCAGGCAGGTGGGAGTCTTCTATGAGGGTTGCATGACCAGCAGAGCAGACATTTACAGCCACTCAGAAGATTAGACAGCTCATGCTCCAGCATCCATGATACAGTCTGAGGTTATGATGCTGCATTATGACAGATTGGTTTATAGGTGTCATAAAGAGATGAATGGATCTCAAAGACATTTGAGATAATGGAGCACTCTGGGAGCTATATGTGTTTCTAAAAGGCTACAGAAGAAGTGATGCAACGCCTTGTCTTAAGATTCAATCACAGGACCAATCTCATCTCTCCAGCCAAAAACACAGAGGGATTTGTAAGTGTCATAATTTGAAAGCAATCCTGTAGGATCTTAACGGTTCTTAAATCTTCTAGTGGATTCCATCATGACACAAAACAAACACAAGGTATTTTACAACAAAACAGTCTGTTATGAAACAGGACTGTTATGACTACTAATATCATGCACCTGAAGGACATCAAAAAGGAATTTAAAGAAAATCTTTATAACTCCCAACAGAAAAAGGTTATAACGACTACACAATATCCAAAGGCTCAAAAAATAATACAGAACTTCACGCAAGAACTAGCCTACAGTTTATCCAATAGGATCTTATTTGATTCTCTTTAAATTCCCATTCCAAATTACTACAGAAATTTCAATCCATAAAGATTTTTTGACTACGGACAGCTCAGCAGGATAATTAAGGTGCAAATATAATACAGGCCAGTGGAAAATAAAATAAAGCCTCATAAGGATTCACAGTAGTTCATAACATTATTTGGACAGAAAAAAAAAATGTAAATCTAAATAGAGATGCAATAAAAGTACTTTAGCACCACTGTGTCTTACAGAATCATGGCAATGTTGCCAGGTAGTCTTCGTCATGAGCATTTCTAGCATTTCATCAGTAACTTACTGCTCATATTTTGTAAGCAAACGGTAGGCTACAGTGATCCACGCATGCATCTACAGTAGACTTACTACATTATTGTACTACAGTAGCCTATTTAGCCTACATTAAATGCTACATGTCCAATAACCGTAGTAATATCATGGTACTTGGTACTTCCGTGTTGTGTATTGTTTTGATACTCATTTGGTTGGAAATGCATTTACCTGCGGTTAGCGTGAAGACTTTCTTCGAGCAAACGATACAGTAAGCTTTTCGGGTTACGTTTCAGTTGATTTTAGGTAAATATCCACTTCATCCAATGCTATTTTTCCTTATCTGACTGTATCCTGTACTTTTCAGAGCGAAAAAAAAATCGCACCACACGATTCAGTGTGAGCTGTTCGAATAAAAGACTGAATCGCGAATCGATTCAGCGACTTTCTGACTCTGACTTATTATACACAACCGACCCAAAATAGTGACAACCATGGTTTTGGTATAAACAGTAGACAGTAGTAGAAAATATAAGACACATGACATATTGTGAAAAGAAAAAAAGCATTTTTGCGTCTGTCAACACTGATGCAAACATAGACAAATGCGAATTTTTTGCCATGACCGCCACTTTTAAGACGCCATGGCAATGTAAAAGTACTTCAACTTTTAAAATAAGTCTCGATATAACATTATGCTCGTTGTCTAGCTACTTTTGAACTCAAGAACTCGTCTTGTGTAAATATAAACAACCCCTGGGGCTCGGGCTCAAGAACTGCGCCTTTCAGCCAATCATTTAGGCGAAAGTTACGTCACCTTATTAATATTCATAAGCCAGACTAAGAAGGTCTGAAATGTGTGCCTTCACTTTCCAGATCGTTTCTACCCCTGTGCCACAGCAACGAACCCAGCGACGCCCCCGTTTGCATGCCACCGGTGTAGCCGTCAATAGTATCCAGCTGCAGACCCGCAGCACCATATATACGATAATTATTAAACGTATGATAGCAAAATCATTACAGACTACTCACCGTGCTCTCTCGTTGTCAATAACTCCGCCCCTCACTTCCGGTTCTGTGGCTGCGGTTCTGAAACTGCTGGTGCTGCGGGTCTGCAGCTGGATATATCTCGTAGCCGTGAACCGCTGGCACGGTTTCCCCCCTCGGCAAGCAACGCATTCGTTTGAAAGCGGCTTAGAGCAAACACGAGTGCACTGACGCGGTACTACAGGAGCTGACCGGTGCTGAAACCGCTGCCTAATGATACCGTGTGCACTGAGTCTGTATGCATCATTCATAATCCGTGAACACTTTCCAACATGTCAGTTTATGAAATATGCACAGCTGAATATGCACAGCTGTGAAAAGCTCATTTGGCGGTCTGGGTCTGAATGAATCTTTGACATTTGCTACACAGACAAAACTTTTACATATTTCCCCACTGTTTGGCTGACGCTCTGCGACAAAATCTCAAACTTTCAGCATTCTGGGCGGTGCAGCACAGTATCTCTGGCGGTAAAGGAGGGTGATTCCCATGCCACGCAGTAACGCAAATCACGGAGCACATACTCACACATAAACGTGGTAAATGAACGCCCAGCCGCGGGGTCTTTCCAGCGCATTGTAAAGGAAATTTTGCAGTCTGCGATAACGCGCGTTTCTTTTGTGAGCGATGCTCCCCCTGGAGATGCTGGACCTCGGTCTGCACAGGATGCTGCCCCGTTTTGTGCTCTCGGAACCGGCGATAAGAAGTGCCCCGTCTCGGCTCGTCTCCGCAGCCCCGGGGTCCAGTCCCACAAAGCCGACTTTCAGTTTCTTCTCCCCTGCCGGAGGGTGATAAACTTCACCGTTGGCGGATTTTTTCACCATCCTTACAGTTTGACAGATCCAAACGAGTGTATAAAGTAGTCGTGGGCAGACATTGCCGAACCGGGGTGTGTTCTGTAGTGCGGCGGTCTCGTAATAAAAGCCAATTGAAACTGCAATGGGTAGTCCTTACGCCTTCCGGCTCCTCTACGAGCCTCTATATTTAATGATTCAGCAGTCGGATTTTGGATGAAGGGGCTGATGTAACAAATTGTTGCAAGTAGTAAATAATTAGAGAGCTAGTTAAATCATTCATGGAAGAAAAGGAAATAGAACTTTGCAATGCTGAAATCTTAATACACGTCATGTTAAAAAGGGTGATGTTTACCTTAAGTAAAACTGTAAAACTTTATAAAATCTTATAAAAAGGGTTGATTTATCCACAGATGTGCAACTAGTCAGTTTATAATGGGGAAAAAATGGTTATTAAGGAAGACCAATCAAAAGTTGTGGTTTAATTGAAAGTGTAAAATAAACAGTGTAGGATATTTCACTGTTCTTCACATCTCTCCATTCCCACTTATGCATACTATAATAGTTATGTAACCTGTTCTGTATGTTTATCTCTAACAATGACATATCAGAAGTAATTTATAAGCAGATACTCTTTTATTTTGTTTGATATTAGCAATGCATTATATAGGCCTACAGCATGAGCATAAAGGCCAACCTAAGGTTTACTCCTGTCAGACTGAAGGCGGCTATAAAAATCACCAGTTATATCGGGGCTGTATTCGGAAATGAGGGTGACACACTGAGCTTTAGGGTACAAGACCATTTAACATCTGTAATTAGACAATTTTGAGACTCCAGGCCCAAGGATTTATTGCAGGTCATCAGATTTACCTGAAGGTGCACTCTTGGAGGATCTAAACATAGATATTATAATGTAGAATATTACATTACCTCAGAAAGGAGAGCTTTATACAATGTTTTTAATTCAACACTGAGTTAAAAACAACTAGATATATGCTTACATTACCAGCTGGAAAGGTTTAAGAGCCATTTAATGTATTTATAATTAACAATTCAGGACAGCATGAAGACAGATACTAGAGTCAAACATTATTATAAACTATAAGTTAAATATTTGCAGATGCAGATTAGATCTACTCCTTCACTCCACAGTGAGGTTTTGATTAAAGCGGCTCTTATTAAGAGAAACAAACAGAATCTGTAAAATTAAGAAAATCCTTTTGGAATGAAAGAAACCCCAAATAGGAGGTAAAGACCAACAAACTATAAGGCCCTCAAAAGAAAGGCTTGATTTGTGAGCACCATTGAAGATTTTTCACTCTTTGAGCTAAAAAGTACACTTGAAATTGAGGCAAGATGTTAAAAATTGCCAGTATAAACTTGAAATAGTACTGAAAACAGCACAGCAGTTTAAAAAAAAGAAGACATTTGAATACATGCATACCATGTTTCAGCTGACTGATTAGTGATGTTAAATTATGCAGTCATAACGTTTGAAAGGGAAAGCTAATTGCACAATAATGGACTGAGATGGTGCATAAACCTGAGATTTTAATATACAGTGATAGGAACATGCTAATGCTAAGTCTTTGGGTTTTACTATATTTAGGTCTATCATACAGAAATGATAGGTTTCATTATAAAGCAAAATAACAAGCAACAACAAGGACCTTCAAAACATACAATAATCAGACGGCACAGATTCTGCAAATTAAAAACACTTGTTTCCAGTTTAAAAATCATTTGCTTTGAGGACCAAATAAAATGTTAAAATCCAATTAAAAATAAATCAGCATTTAACCAGCACTAGGCTTCAATTTGGATAGATATGAGGAGAAAAAAAACACTATTTATTAGCATAAATTCAAGTATTATTTAAAATTTGCTCTTAAGAGTCTAACTTCCATGCTGATATGTAACAGACAGTGACGAGTTATGAGCTACAATACAAACATGATGAACGTCTCATTAAGATTTCATAAAGATTTCATTGAAGACATGATGCTATGTTGCATTATTGTCACTAAAGCGAATATTTTTATTATTTTTATCATATATTGCGAATATTATTTGCTCAAATCTTTGTTTGCTTCACTAAAATTAAATTTTAGCAAATACTGTCAACTGTCAGGACTACTGAAGGTAATCCAATCTAAACTAATCCAGGAACACTTACATTTCCAGGCCTTCTCGGTTACTGACCACACATCTGATGTTATAAATTTAAATATCGAACACATTGTGTAAAAGCACAATAAAGTTTCCTATCCAAATATACACTAAGTATACAAAATGAAAGATGTACAATATTATATGTTTTAACATTATTAATACTCTTTAAATTATAGCACTGCTGTTCCCAAATAGCATACACTTATCCCTCTGACACATACATATATTTACCTAAATACAAAATTTCAATAAAATCCTACTATATCTATTAATTCTTCACATGATCCCTTTGCGTTTCTCTGTCTTCTATTGTACAGTATGTTTAATAAACACTAAAGAACACAAGCATTTTTTCTTGTGCTTTTCCAAACAGCCACACAAAGCAGCTGCCAAGAACAGTCACGCACTGTAACACAGCATTGATTCATGTTTAAAAAGTGCTATTCACCAGGGACGAGCAGACATTATTGTATTTTTTCCTCCCAGTTGATCAATAATGGTTTTAATCTTCAATATCAACATTTTGACGACAGTGAAATCTTGTATTTTGTATGGAGGCCTACGTTTTTGTATTGTTTGAGAAGCCGATAGCCTCCATTTGTTTCCCTGTTATCCTTAAAATGCGCCGTTGATGGAACGTCACAAGAAAATTGTGTTGTTAAACAGAATCAAACTTATTTTAAACAATGACGGATAAGAATTAAGATTTTGAAACTGGTCCATGTAGGCTGGAATGATTTCAATACTTTCATAATACCTGATATGAGTTAGAGAACAGCAACAGCTCTCTGAGGGCACCACCTCCCAAGACACAGTGCAGACACACTCATGCAAAGCTACAGTAATTGCACATAATCACCACATATCTGAACTTAACGTCACCACCCTACTTGCTGACGCAAGATTGCAGTCAGAGGCGAAAGGAAGAGATAATACAGCCTTTTACAGCTAGATTTAGCCGTTCACACGCCAGTCCAGATCCATTAGGAGACCAAACAATGAAGCAATGTGGGCAGACACTGCTAGCCAAGATTAGCATCATTAGCATTAGCAATTTTCTCAGCTGCCAGAGCAGGAGATAAAGGTTGCCAGACGGTTCTCATTCCTTGTCGTGTTGACCTCAGCCGGACCTCTCTGGATGAGGCTGGCTGGGATTTGAGATGTGCTGAGGCATGGTCTCAAAATGATAAGCCAGTCTTGGTATCTCCCAGCATCTAGAAAGTCTGAGAGAAGGATGTGACCTCATTCAAAGATCTCCATCAGAGGGGGGTAAACACAACCTGAAGAGCCTGTGATGAGGATTAAAAAAGGGGTTGGTTACTGTAGATGTTTCATTCAACTCCGAAGCCAAACCACCAGGAATAGTAACTTTCAATTTTTATTGTCAGTGAGGTCATTAAATAGCAAGAGTCAGTGATACCTGGGAGCACAAGGTGGCATCTGGTCCATCACTCTTAGATTTTTGGCAGAAATCTCCACTCTGGTGCCCTATGAATATAGACAGTCATTATTGCCTGTTGGAATACTGTCAGAATAGCTCAAACGTCAGTATTCATATTCCAAAACATGTTAAAGAGTTTCATCAGAACATTTAGTTTCGACTTTGTCTGTTTCTGAGGATATAACACTAGTTTGTTGCTCAAATTACCAACAACTCTTTTATCCTTTAGCCTACGTGCCCACACATATTTATTGATATATTCAAGCATATGTCAAGCACTGAAGGTGTGTAGGCACGTATTGTATCTGTTAAGGTTCTTATTATTATTCTACTTCTCACATAATAAGGTGGCCTATAGAACCGTATGCTTAAAGTTGTGAAATTTAGCACACTGATTAGGCAGAGTTTCAATATATCTGGTGCCAGTTTTGGAGTTAGTCTCTCAAAACAAGATTTTGCCATTTTTAACACTTATTCAAACTCCTACAGTTTTCATCCGACTGACCAAATTTGAGTCAGACCATCTGGAGTTGATGCCAGTCAAAAGCTTTTTGATATTGCTTACAGTTCAACAACCTGGATGGCAAGGGCACCATAGAAAAAGTTAATACATATCTTCTCAACCGCCGCACTGAAAATTGCTGTGTATAATTACTTACCATAGTTTTAAGGGAAAACATCACCGATTTTTAACTAGCTTGGTATTGTTATTAAGTCAGCAGTATTATGTAAATGAACAATGTGTACCCTTTCCATGTTACATGCATCCAAATATCTCAGTTTATTTGTTAGCAAAAGTCTGTCAGTGTTTTGCACCATCCGGCAGATTTTGCTGACAAATACACATGGATATGTGAGAGCCAGTAACCTACAAAACTGGCTGAAAATCTGTGAAGCTGTCCTTTAAGTGCACAGAAGCATTTTAGTGGCCACCTACTGGCCAAATGCATATGGTAAATCACAGCATACGGAAAGTCATGCTTCTTCACTCCATACAGTACAAGTCTGGAAAAATAGTTTGTTCACACTGAAAAAAGTGCACCTCAAATACCCAGTATGATGCCCTTATTTAACAACCTTTTACTGTATGTGTCAGTGCCATAATGCCTTAAGCATCACCTGTTGCCAAACCAAAAGATATAACATAACACATATCAACTTTGTAACTACTTTTGTTTCTAATTATACAATTGGCCATTTTATGGGCAAACGAATCTATTCAATCATACAACATGCATGTAATTGGCCCAGAAGTTGCTACTAGCAGCTATGTTTCAGTGTTTATTCGTTTATAATGTCTGTGTGTTGTGTATATATACTATATAGTTTCTTTTCTATTTAAATTGTATTTATCTTTCTCAGTCTCTTTCCATTAATATAGATTAAGTGAAATAGAAAAGAAAAAGTAAATAAAACAAAAATATACAATAATCATCGATTAAAAAAAAGCACTAAAACTAAATCTGGCCTCACTTCAGCTAGTCTGCAGTGGCCAATTTGGCAGGAGGTATTTTCTACCAACCACAGGATTGATTTTGTAAGTTTTAATGACATAAGGTGAGCGGTTTGAAATAGGTGTCATATGCTGTACCTGCTTACGCATGATGTCCATGGTCTGCATTAGGCAACGGGGCATGAGGCCGTGGTTTCTGGCTAGAGTAATGGCCTGCTCCAATGACACAGTCAGAGTACACCTACACAGAACAAAAACCTTAGTCAAGAGGCAGTTTAGACAATCTGTTATAGATTTACCTCAGTGTAGCAGTAACCTAGGATATAAATCACCATTAGATGCACATTTGAGCAAGAAATAAAAGAAAGTCAAAATAAAATATAGTTTACAGTAGAAACTTGACTGTGGCTCCACTTCAGTAGTAAGAGGCTTAAAGATAAGAAGCGTGTGTTTTGAGCTGTCACTCAATAAAACTTTATTCCCATCTGTGGATTCACAATTGACTACTGGATCTAGAACAACATGAAAACAACATTTCATACTATTGATCAATTTAATACATCCTTGCTGAATAAAAAAAACAAACAAACAAAAAAACTTACTGACCAAACAGTTGAACGGTTGTATATAGGGATATTACCTGGTCTATTTTCATTGCAGTGGAATTTGAGTCTGAATTTGATTTCTCTAGATAAAAAGCCCTGAAAAATGAAAGATATTATATAAAAAATGAGCACTTTTTTGCCATTCAAACCTTCATTACATAAATTATTTACTTAATGAAATGTCTAACTTACATTTTTAAAGTTATCTTTTAAAACGGTTTAATTTCAATTAGTTTAGCAGCAAAATTAAAATCAATCAAAACTGCAAGGTCACTCTGTATGATATCCACATGCCCCTAAAGGGTATCTGTACCTGAGCTTGCGGTAATAACCTTTGACCTTCTCCAGTGACAGAGCATTTGTACACTGCTGAAACTCTTCCATGGCAACAAAATCCTGAGACAACACACCCTCTGGCTTCTCCAGTCCTGATAAAGATTAAGAAAATACAGATGAATGTCATGCTTTGCCCAGTGCTGTAGTGCTCTCCACATACCACTAGATGGAGACCAAAACTCATCAATGAAACCGAGTGGCTTTAATTAGCTCTATCTATCTATCTATCTATCTATCTATAAACTAAGAAAAATAACAAAAACAATAAAAATGTCAAATAAATAAAGGACACTTCTCTTGCCTTGATTCATTCTCATCACATTGCATGCCTGGCATCTTAAGAAGCAGCATAATTAAGAAGGCAACCTTTTTGAACAGCCTATAGTGCCTCAAAATATAACCTCAGTAAGCAGCTCACAAAGTTTTAGAACCGTAAATTACAAATGAAACATTTAGAATGGAAATAGTAATTTATCTTGTTCTGTTTGTCTGCTCCCACCTCTAGTGAAGAGGACTGATTGAAGCTTCAAAGAGCCTCCGTTCTGCAGTCTTGTTGGCAGCTCACTGAAATGACAGCTGTCCAAGAACATTGTCACCCTGATGGTCTGCCGACTGCCTTCCACCTGGTAATGCACAGATGTGTCTGAAAAAAAAAGTGCATTAAAGGATGCATGAGTCACAATGAGAGACTATTTACAATTCTATGCAATTTCAATCTTTTTCCTTCACACAAGTTCATTTAAGAAAAGTCTGCACCCGTACATACTGTATACAGTATCCTTTATGTTTGAGGTCACACTGGGAACCTTGTCAGGTTAATTAGGTTGAAAATAGCCTGATGAGATGAGTAAAGGCAGTAGGGCTGGGCGATATGGCAAAAATATCTTATCGATAATCGCCTTTAAAAATATTGTGATATCCGATAATATCGTCTACCTAAGCCCCACCTCCACCACGCCCCGCCCCCGCCGAGACAACATTGTAACATGCACCATAAACACACACCATGTTCAATTTGGTCTTAATTATTGCCACAAAGTTTTTACTTTTCTTAGTTTGTGCTTAAACTAACAGAAAACATTAGCTTTGCTGTTATTTTGGTGTTGCTAATCATTTCCATTCAGTCTGAAATGAATTTGTTTTGTGAGGAGAACTGTTGAGGATGTTTCCTTGTTTCCGATGTTTCTCTTTCTTTTTGGCATTATCGCCTGTGTAGACACATTTCATGATGGTAAGTTTAATAAGTTTAATTTCCTTAATTACAACAATTGCAGCGTTGTTTTTAAACTTGTAGTCAAACTATAACGTATTTGATATTTATCATGTATGACTAAAATCATGCAGGGATTAAAAACTAATTTTGAGCAAAAACGTTAAGGTTTTTTTTTTTTTTCCCCTTCTTTCTTTTTACTGTATGTGTCAGTGCCATAATGCCTTAAGCATCACCTGTTGCCAAACCAAAAGATATAACATAACACATATCAACTTTGTAACTACTTTTGTTTCTAATTATACAATTGGCCATTTTATGGGCAAACAAATCTATTCAATCATACAACATGCATGTAATTGGCCCAGAAGTTGCTACTAGCAGCTATGTTTCAGTGTTTATTCAATAACTGCTTTATTTATTTAGAAGCAGGGCAATTTAAATTTCATTTTTGTATTGTAATTTTTATTTTATTAATCAAAATACAACGCCCAAAATATTATATTCAGTGTTGGGCTGCCGAAACTCCGAACGCGTACATGTTGAGGGGCGAGCTGAGAAGCCTATAATGTCTTCATCTGTTTGCAACAAAAAACTTTATAGTTTTGCTGTAAATGAATTAAGAATTTAGTGCTATATCTCAGCTTAATTAAACATAATTATATTGTATACACGGTTTAAAAAATCTGTCAAAAATATTGCACTGAAATGTGCGCTGAAGGAATTTGCTCATTTTAATTATACCTGTCATGTTTGTGGTTTTTCATCATTATACAGTCTGTTTAAAAAAATATTCAGAAATACATGAAGTACTACTTTTTGTCTTTTTTCCATTAAACTTTTATTAAACTGTAAGGATAAATTATATTGGAACGCATCTCCAAAATAATCGCATACACAGATGCACGTTGCCATTACAGTAGTCAGTGCCGAACAACAGGCAAATAAAATATAAACTGAGGTTACAAAAGTGATTCAGTCAAGATCAGTGAGGATTTTCTTTTCTTTTGTTCTTTGATTAACATTAATGACTGGCGGCAGCGGCTGCTGTCAATGCACGGATCCAATACACCCTTGTTTTCTTTCTCAACTCTTTACGTTCACTTAAGACATAACCGATTGTATTTATGGGATATTTTGATATAATTCTGTTTGTATTTGTCCATTCGATATGTAAAAATGC